GATCACCCATCCTGGTGCAGTCCCTCCACCTTTGTGTCTTGGGGGGTTACTGCACCTCCCTGGTGTATTACAGCTAAAGGGTGACCAGTGACCTACATGAGAGCCCCAGTGTGTACCTTCTTCTTGTTGGGACAGATTTAGAGGAGTAGTCTGTGGCACTCAGATGACCTGGGATGTAGGCCCAGGTGTCAGCATGAGTGGTGGCTGGAGGAGGCAGTCTGGTCAGAGAGGATCAGCTGCTTCTGGGGAAGGTCATTTGGGAATTTTACATTCAGGTCAGTATGAAAATGACTGATGGGGAGAAAGTAAATGTGTTCCTGAGGCATGCTGCTGCCTGAGGTGGGTCTCAGCTGCCTTTGCCTGAGATTGCAGCTGGCCTCCCATAGGGAGTCTTGTGTGATTTTCTGTTTGGGACCATGACCGTGGCCCAGAGTGGGAGGGGGGACAGCCCAGAGTGGTGCGGCTCTCACAGATACTTGGACTTTCTTGGCTCACCTTATTTGTTCTCACCTTTTTGGTCCTATCATCTCCTTCCAATTCCGTATACATCACCTTTTCCTTTTATTTTCCTAAAGAAATTTGGCTATAAACTATTATAAACAGAAAATCACACATACATAATGAAACAACCATCTCTCAGCTCTGTCAGATCTTATCACTTTGCCATTTCATTAAAAAAATGCTATTTGAAATAACTGGTTCCTAGGTTTTAATTATATATAACATTACAAATTCACATCTGTATGTAGTACATTATGTCTTCCATTAAAACTTGATTCCAGGGCCCTCCCTGGAGGTGCAGCGGGTTAAAGCACAGCACTAAGAAGCTAAAGCCACTTCAGCATGAGTTGGGTCCCTCTCTCCCCCAGGTGATCCACATGGTGTTGCAGACCTCTCCTGACCCGCCGCTGCTCCCTTCAGCAGTGTACTTCGTTGATCTGCCTGTTCTGCTCCCCACTCTGTCCCTGGTGAATCCTCTTACCCTCCGCATCTCTGGCCTGTACTCCAGTTCTGTATGAATAAATAAATAAATCTTTAGGAAAAAAAAAAAAAAACTTGATTCCAGCCTTCACCTTACAAATGACCCTTTTACCTGACCCTTTTCCCCTTTTCCCCTCCTTCTTGCCTTCCTCCCCCACCCCACTGGCAACTTACTAACTTGATTTTACAATGTAAAAGTTTATCTGCTCATTCATTTTTGTCTCTTTACTTACCACATATGAGTGAAGTCATACAGTCTTTTTCTTTCTCCATCTGAGTTATTTCACTAAACACAATGCCTTGTAAGTTCATGTCTATTTTTGTAAATGGAAAGATTTCCTTTTTTTTTTTTCATTTTAGGAAATAAAATCTCAGAGGCAGTTGAACCTCTTAATCTGTGAACCTCCATCCATTTCTCCACTCAAGCGTCAGCCAGATTCTGGAAGCTATGCTCACCACCAGTCTACCAACACACACTAGTCAGCTATATTCTGAATCAGGATATAACCTCCATGTTACAACTAGGACAGTCCTTATATCTATGGGTAGTTATTATGTGTGCATTCATGCATAGTATAGTTTTGCATGATTTTAAACTTCATAAACTAAATATAACCCTATTTAACTTATTTCGTATATTTATGAAATCTTTCTGAGCTTTTAATATTTGTGTATTAGCTCTGCTATGTAATATATTCTGCTTCACTTTCCCGTTCTCCTATGATGGGCAATTTGGTTTTGTTTCCAAAAAAGATACAGCCAATATTCTCGCTAGGTCTCCTTGTACTCATGTCAACCTAAATATATAAACTGAGGCAAACTCAAAATTGTTCCACAAAATGAACCTGTTCAAAAATAGCAGAGGAGTTGTAATTTTGGACCCTGAAACCAGCAAGCTACATGCAAATTCATTTAGTGGTGTTTATGGGCAGGGAATGTAAAGAGAGCAGAATTCAGTGAGAATCTGTTAAAATAAAAAATAAATGAAAACCAGCCCTGAAAATTCCTCACACAGACAAAAACAGTTCAGTCACGCAAATAAAGCCTAATCTAGTGTATTTTCTGAGACCATCCCACCTGGGTTATCTTATCCATGCCTCTGGAAATTGTTAGCAAAACTTCCCAAGGTTAATAAGAGACCGCCTCTGACCAACTCTCTATCACTCAAGAAAATAAGTTTTATCATTCAAAAAGGATAAGTTTTAGTTTTCTGTAAACCAGACATTTATGGGAAACCAGTCTCTCAGACCTTAAGTTTGCTGAGGGCGTGAGATTTGCTTTTTTATAGTCTCTAGTTAACTTTAGCTGAAATTGTTACACCCACCGTGTGCAGATAGTTTTGGCCTGTGTATATTGTGTATATTCAGTTCTACAAGATAGTGCTGAATTGCCCTCCAAAGTGGCTCTATGATTAATGTACCTCCAGCATGATATTGGAGTTCCTGTTTTTCCACACACCCCCATATTTGGCACTGATAGTGTGTGAAAGGGGAGATCCTGATCATTTTGTCTTCCAAGGCCCCGGTGCTTCTGGAAAGCCCCACCTATAGTCTGCATCCTGGTCACATCATAGATGGATTAAGAATGGAGGCTATTTGCTGTGACCTCTTCTTCATCTACACTCTCCTGACATCGATTCTCCCTGTCGCAAATTTTTGAAGTATCGACACACGTGCCAGTGACTTCCACATATATAAATATCTTCCTCTTGATTGCCACTGGCCACTTAACAGATTTATTTGATGGCCAGTAAGCAACTCAATTAAAATTTAAACTAGTCAATGGCCAACTCAGTTTTTTCACCAAACCTAATCCTTGCCCATGTTTTCTCATCTTAGTCAAGGGCACTGCCATCTAATTGCCCAAACTGAAAACTTAGGAGCTCTTGATCTTTCTCTTCCCACCACTCCCATATTCATTCTGTCAACTTGATCAATTTTTATGCAAATTCTTTCTGAATTTTCTCCTTTATAATTCACAGCTACCACCTGAGTCCAAGCCACATTGTCTCTTGCCTAGAACACTACAGTTGCCTCCTAACTGCTCTTACCACTTCTTTTCCTTTACAAACCACCTCTAGCCAGCAGTTAAGCAATCTTCTTAAAGCATAAAACAAATGTTATGCAACTACTACAGACTTCCAGTGGTTATTAGTGTGGAAAACTAATGTTTGGGCCATGTCTGCTTCTCCTACATACCTCCCCAGACTTATGGGACTTCCTTTGTATAATAGGGGACTCATTCCTCGATCCTTTCATGACTCCCTATAATTTAGGATCCATCACTTCCTCAAAGACCTACCCTATTACTAATGGCAAGAGTGGCCCTTGGCCACTCCTTACAATATCACCTTATTCTATTTATATTCTGGAGTTTCTCAGAGCTGAATGCTATTGTTGTTTGCCAGAGTAGAATGTCATCTTCATGAAAATTGAGCTGTAGTCAGTTTTACTCTGTAGTTGTGCTTGGCACTCTAGTAAGTGCCTATCAAGACCTGTCAAATTTGGGCATCGCTGGTGGTGCAAGGGTTAAGTCTCAGCACTATGAAGCTCTCTACAGCCACAGCAGCATGGGTTTGATTCCCCCACCAAGGAACTAACCCACATGGAGCACAAGACCTCCCCCATCTCACCCGCTGTTCCCCTCAGCAGTGTATTTCAGTCAATCCACATGTTCTGCTCCCCTGTCTCTGGTGAATCCTCTCACCACTCCCCCCCCACACTTTTGGCCTACACCCTAGCTCTTACATGCATAAATAGATCAAAGAAATCTGTTATTTAACAAAAAGATATGGTGAATTAATAAATGGGGTAAAATTTTAGAACAAATTATAAGTCCAATTGAAATTTTCTCACCATCTGGGTAGGATAAAAGCTGCTTAAGGTGAAACAACACTTGTCTTTAACTACAACATCAGTTCTCAAATTTTTTAGTCCCGAGACCATTTTACCTTCTTTAAAATTATGGAGGACCCCAAAGGGCTTATGTTCATGTGGATTATGTCCACAGATACTAGTGTTATTAAAAAGGAAGAGGAAGAATTTTTTAAATACTTATTTTGAGATGATCATATACCTATTATCTAATGACATAAATAATATATGAAAATTACTAAGTGAAAAGAAAAGATTATGAGCAGTGGTACACTTTGAGAAAGTTACACTCCAGAGTTCTTGTCAGTACTGGTAAGATTCTGTTGAATGAGTAGATTGATGGCCTCAAAAATCCAGACCAGCTTTCCAAGTCAGATGTAAGCGCTTCCCAGTTATGTGAATGGGTGCACAATACAAGGGGTGTGGTAACAGTCTGAGGAGTTGTGGACCTATATCCTTAGCTCATATTTACTATTGTAAACCAGCGTTGCAATTAAAAAAAAATTAGCAAAAAAAAGAAAAAGACAAATCACGAAAGATAAAAAGCCATAGGAGCCTTCTGCAAGAAGAGGTCATATTTGCCCCTCAGTATCTCTCAGGGTTCATCGGCTTACTTGCTTACCTGCTGCTAGCCCCTCATTGTCCTCTTCCCTTTCTTCCAAGTCTTCCCTAAAAAAAATTTTTTTTAAATGCACAAAAAATTGAAAATTTAAGAAATGAAAGCTAAGTTTAATGTCTTTGAAAATTAAAAGGCAAGCAACATCTCTCTTAAAAATGCCCATTTCTATAATCAGAATGATTGAACACGCTTACTCCAGTGAATTCCTTTTGAGTTTTCACTTTGTACTACAAATGTTTAAGCATGGTTTTATCAGCATTTGTTTATTTCTCTTTATATTCATGTTGAGAAACCAAACTGAACGTCCTATTCTTTTTCCTAGGGTGATACCGAAACCTAAGTTCTTCTCCTTTCTGAAAAGTTGTTCCTTCCTTTTTTCCCCACCCTTGGCTCAGGAAATCCACTGAACCAAGATTAAAAATAATAGGTGGTCATCTCTGCGCTCCTTTTTAAGTAGCTGAAGCTCCCCACGCTTTGGGCACGCCTCTTCCACGTCCTGACGTTATCCTATTTTTGTCTTTGAATAGCTCATTGACACAATCGCCTCGGAGATCGGAGAACTGAAACAGGAGATGGTGCAGACAGATGTCAGCCTGGAAAATGGCCTGGAACCCACTGCAAGCCACAGGTGACTGAGGCGGTTTAGGTGCCGGGTTGGAAATGGGAGCGAGGTGAACCTTATTGGCTGTGAGGACTGCCATGTCAGGTTACTCCTCAAGTTGGGAACTGGGAGGGAGAGTGGCGGTTGCTCCAGAAGAAGCTTTCTGTAGGAGGTGGGAGTGGCCTAGGAACCAGTTGTCTGCTTTTTTATTTTAATCACTTTGAAGGCACTTGAATTTTATACCCTCTCAATTCCTCCTGGCACCAGAACCCGGAAACCTAAAGTTCTCTCTGCCATATCCACCTACTCAGTGATGGAAACAGTAACACGCCAGGATCCTCCGTGTGCAAAATAGAATTCAGTGTAGCCCGTGTCAGCTTCCAGGAGGTTTAAAGGGGAACACTAACGAGGATGGACTCATTTTGCGTTCTCAGGTCAGAAAAACCCCAGCTCTTCCCACAGTCTGCTTTGTAATCTGGTGGATTAGACACTGACATTGACGTGGTTGTATGTGACTAAGCCAAAAAAGGCTCTCTGCCGTGCTGGTTAAACATAGTTGGTTTTGCACTTACTGCATATGCTCTTGAGTAGGTCATGCGGGGCTCCTCTTTATCTGGAGAATGCAAGAGGAGAGGAGAGAAATTGCCAAAATCCCTTGCAATACTACACAACCCTGACATGGTCACTCGTTGCATTGGTGGTCAGATTCATAACCAGCTTCTCCCTTTCTCAGGAAATGGGGTTAAGGTTGCCTGGTACAGTGTGTACGTAAGATTCATGGAGTGTTTTGCTTGCAAGTCATGAGATAGACAGAAGTGCTGGGAAGGCTGGGGAACCAGGTGGTGCTGGCTGTGGAGGTGTGTTTTAAACCAGCCCAACTAGTTTCCCATCAGGCTGAGGGGAGAGTGTGCAATCCCAGGGAAGCTCTTTGCACTGGAAGGTAGTATTTTAACTACTGTGTGTCTGGAGGAGCAGTCTTCCCTGGAAGCTGTTGGCATTTGATATGCCTTCCATTTCATTGTCTTTGCAGAGTGATAGGGGGTAGGCCAGATGATCTCCAATGTACTCTTGCAGCACCTGATCTGAAAAATTTCAGTAATTTCTTTTTACAGCAAACCAGACAAATTTTAATGATTGTTGATTACAGACTTTCTGTCTCATATTCAGAGTAGTTCCAAATGCCATGGAACTGTAGACAGGGGATTTGTCTTAACTCTTTTTCTTTAGTTAGCAAAAAATTCAATTGGGAGTTCAAGCTGATGACCAGAGAGTAAAGAGAGCTCTGGTGCCACTGATTTCTCCCACATGCAGGAAGGAATTGCACTCTGTAAAATGTTCCTCACGTTCCACACATTATGGCAGGTGAGGGTAGTAGTCATCCCTCCCTACATATGAGCCCTGGGTGACTTAGGGTCCCAGGAAGGAGTGATAACCTGTTGGGGCCCTCAAAAGCTGGGTCTGAGTGCAAACAGTATTAGGGTGGGAGAGCTGGCAGTCATTTAATCTTTAACATCTCTTTCAACTTTTTGAATTGAAGAACAACTAAGTATTCCGCATTTTCCCCCTATGAATATTGTCTTTTTAATTGAAGTAACTTTGGCTTATAGGTTGGGGTATATACTATAAATCAGTATCTGTATATACCACATAATGTTCATCACCATAAGTCCAGTTTGCATCAATCACATCTGTTATAGTTTCCATCCATCCTCATGCCACTCCCCATTCCCTCTGGTAGCCACTATTTTGTATCTGTAGTCTAAAGTTTGTTGTGTTCATTCATTTGTTTTGTTCCTTTGATCTAGGACATGAGTGAAATCATATGGTGTTTTTCTTTCACTGTCTGACTTTTTACATTGTGTAATACCTTCTAGTTCCATACCTGTTGTTACAAATGGCAAGATTTCTTATCCATATATAGCTTTTTTTTTTTATTAAAAAGTTTATTTTTACATCATTTTTCACATTTTTTTTTTCATCTCAATTGTAATCCCCATATATAGCTTTTTAAAATAGATACAGTGGAGTATTATGCCATTGAGTTATATACCACTTTTTCCTTATCCTCCATTCATTGATGGGCATGAAGGATGTTTCTTACCCTTGCTGCTGTGAATAATGCTTCAGTGAGTGTGGGGACGTGTTGGATGTTATGTTGGATAATGCTGAAACTATGGGATTTCAGAAGTATTATGCTTA